CAACATTCTTATCAACATAGAAAAGATTTAAGTTGTCAAGGACTTCATTCTCCTGATCAACTCTCAGCTCTCATGGAAGCTGTAGTCAAGAAAACAGACAATGTATTGCATTAGGGTAATCTGCTTCACAAGAATGTTTTAAAATGTTGAAATGCAAAGATGTCAGCTTGAACACTCAGGTGAGCTTGATCCAAGCCATGGTATTTTCAATAACCCCATATATATGCAAAAGCCAGACACTGAATAAGGAAGACCATAAAAGAATTGATGCCTTTGATTTATGGTGTTGGAGGAGAATATTGAAAGTGCCATGGGCTGCCAAAAAACCAATAGATCTGTGTTGGAAGAAGTGCAGCCAGAGTGCTCCTTGATGGCCAAACTCCATCTGGAGAGGTGGATGGTCAGAGAAAAAGAGGAAGATCCCTGGAGTGATGGATTAGACAATTGGTGGTATCGATGGACTCAAGTGTGCCAATAGTAGTGATGTTGGCCCAGGATCAGGCAGTGTTTCATTCTGCTGTGCATAGGGTCACTATGGGTCAGTACCGACTCGATGGTACCTAACACCAACAATATATACAGAGAGGTTTATTATGTGGAAATGGCTCACATTGTTTTGGAAGCTGATGACAAAAATGTGGGTCAGATGTGAGGCTGGATGCTTCTGCTGACTAATGGTCCTACATTAATTACAATACAATGACCAACAATGTATTATGTATTATATAATGATAATATGGCATGTATCTGTCTGTAGATGCAAATTGATTGGATACCATTAGGAAAGGTGGCAAGCTGCTGAGGACTTCAAATTTAGGTAGGCAATAACAGAGACCACTGACACATGTGAAAAGAAGTAGAAGTGAGATGATGAGCCAGATGCTGGATCCAAGTTGAGCAAGAAGCAAACAAGCTTCCTCTAATGTACACATGTATTAGCATGAGGCCATTCCCCTGAGAGAACTCCTTTTCAGTTAGTTGATAGATGTCCTATAACAGATCTCATCATGGCCATGATTATAGTACATGAGATCTCATCATGGTGGATGTCTACATCTTAACATCCAAACATCTGTGAATACTGGTTCTACCAAGTTGGTACATGAGCTTAATTATCACGTTTAACTGTAATCACTTAATTATCACGTTTAATTACATTTGCTGAATGTACCCTTGTCTATTGATTCATTCATCTGTTAATGGCACTTTAGATTGTCTTCATCTTTTTGGTATTATAAATAGTGCTGCAATTAACATGTTTGTGTCAAGACATTTTTGTCTCTGTAGGGTATAAACCCAGTAGTGGGATTGCTAGATAATATGGTAATTCTATTTCTATTTTTAAGAAAGTGTCATACTGTTTTCTCCCATTTTAAAATCCCATCATCAGTGGATGAGAGTTATGGTATCTCCATGTTCTTTTCTGCTCCCTTTGCTGAACTTTTCCAGCATTCCCTTTGTTGTCACCTTCACACTTACAGACAATATTCTGGCATATACTGTATCTTTTATGTACTTGTGGGAAAATTCATCTCCCTAATCTACCAATTGACATTTTCTCCTTCCTGCTTAACTTTCCATATGTTGTTTGCAAAGTAAAGTCCTTATTCATAGAAAAAAAAAATCCCACTTAAAGAGACATTGGAAAATTTTCAGTGAGAGGACTAAGACTATAGAAAATAATCTAAGATTCCAATGATTCAATTAATTTTACTCCACCAGGTGTCTTTGTGTGGACTCTGTCAGAGAAGAGTAAGAAGTACAGCAAAAGAAAGTGATTGAAGAGAAATGCGAAATTCACATCTATTTTTTTTCAATAAATCAAGAATAATAATGTGCCAAGAAAGATTATCAACTTGTACTATTTGTGCATGATTATTCATTTAACTGTATAATTAAACTGTTGTCTGTGATAGATGTTAAAATAAAAGCAATCAAATATGATTGCTGATCTAAGTGCAAAATTATGTGAGACCAAAAGGATTGCTTTAACTAGTAATATTGGCATAGCACAAAATGAAGCACAATGATACTGTTGTTGTTGTTAAGTGTTGTCCAGTCAGTTTTGCCTCATAGCAACCTGTGTAAGGTTTATGAGGTTGTAAAACTTTGCAGGAACGGAAAGCCGCATCTTTCTCCTATGGATAATCTGGTGGTCTCAAATCACTGACCTTGTACAGACCAGAACTTATCCTACAGAGCCACTGTGCTACCAACACTGATATTTATTATGTAGCAGGCATGGACTAAGTATTTGCAGTGAAGAAGGTTTATTTCCCAATGAAATTATAATTATGGTCTGTTTAAGATTAAAAAGGGTTATATGCATAGTTCACAAAGACAATGGTCTACATCCTTCTTTGGTGAGTAGAAGCTGGGAGGCTAAAAGCTCATGAGCAGCCATCTAAGGTGCAACTAGTGGTCTCTCCCTGTCCAAAGGAGAAAAGAGTGATGAAAATTGAAGATACTAGGAAACAATGATCCCAATGGATTAATGGACAATATGGACATCAGTCGCCATGACTCTGAGATGAGAAGAATTTGATGGTACCTGATTGCCCTTCAGGTCTAAATTTGAACTCACCCTCATGGCTCAATTTCTACCCCAATAATAGATGGATACATAAAGAGGGGCAACAAGACTAGTGAAGCACACCCCCCCTGGAATAGGCAATCACCAAGATCAAAAGGGCAACATTTACCTCAGGACAAAATTCCAAAGGCTTGGGAAAGAAGGAGAATGGCAACAAGAAACCAAGTGAAGAGGGAATTACAATAATTGAGATGAAATGAACTGTATGATTTGTTGAATGCAAAATTAATGATGTGCTCACTGAAACGTCACTCAATTCACAATAAAAAAAAAAAAGCTTTAAAAAAGGTTGTGGTGGGCTATATTATTCTACTTTCAATGGTGAAGGGAAAGTGCATTGGTTTCTTTTGGCTGCCACTAAAAGCAACAACAACAACAACAAATAAACTTGGTTGCGTAAAGGAGAAATTTATTGTTTCATAGTTCTGAAGATCATAAGTCAGAAACCAAGTCATCAACAGGAATGTTCTACCTTAGAAGTCTTTGAGCAAAGAATGCATTCATTGCCTCCTCCAGCTTAATGAATAATATAGTGACTCCAGAGTTTTCTTGGCCTGTGAATTTCTGTTCTCAGTGTTTCCCTTTGGAGTTTTATTGTCTCCAACATTTCTCTGTGCCTTTGCTTTGTCTATATTATAAGAATGCAATTGCAGTTAGGATGCTAGGATAATCCAGGTGTAAACTCCTATGCAAAGACCCACTTTCCAAGTAACGTAACATTCAGCTTTTATCATATGAGTAATATTCATAGTTATCAAAATTTGAGACATGGAAATACAATTCTAGAAGCTACCACCTAAACCACTACAGGAGGCATATCTTCTGATGTGTCCATCAATAAATCTTTTTACAATAGCCCCAGAAAAGACAATCCTATCTCTTTGGATATTATGTGTGGCATTATATTTTCATATGCTACTGCAATCTTGAGACCATGAAGAAAATTATTTCTAAGATGAAGGCATCACACACAGGACCACTGTTGTGATTCTGTACATTACCTTTGTACAAAGTCCTTCCAATGAACGATGTTTATTTTTGAGATTATCAGTGTCTAAGATTCTTGTATTATTACTGAAGCTTTCTTCACTGACGATGCTCAAATATCTCAGAAACACCAAATATAATTGAGAAAATTTAACATTGCACTTTCATAAAAAAATGGAAAAGAGTATGATTGACGCAGTTGCTGAAATACAGGCAAAGATTAACAATACCAAGTCTCAATAATTAGTGAATTCTAAAATATAATACAATCTAAAAAATAAAAAAGCATCCTTTCAATGAGTTTTTTCAAGCTTATTCTGATGTCTCTATTTCTTAGGCTGTAGATAAAAGGATTCATTATTTGAGGGACAACAAGGTACATCACTGAGGCTATTGCTGTCTTTCTGGAAGAGTTTGTAAACA